TTTCTCCTTTGATGGTTTCGGGTTTGGAAATATCTGGCATGTCTGGTACAATTTCTGTGCTACGGTCGAGGATTTGGAATACAGGTTTTAGTACTTCTATGGCTGATATTACAGTGGGTATCAGTGTCCATAGTTCTGTAATTGAGGGTACAGTGAGGGAAAATATCTGGTATGCCCTTATCCCATTCTCAAAGCTGGCTTGATTCCTGTCGACAAGAATTGTTGTGTACCATAAGGCAACTGCATGAGCTATGTTCCATAGGCAGAGAGAGATGCCTTGAATAATTCCAAATTTTATGCTTTTTGACTTGCCTTTCCTAAGTGGTCGCTTTAAGGACAGTTTGGCCTTCTGAAGTATCTGTTCCTCGTGGCAAAAAGATGCAACAGTTTTTATATTAGTGGCAGATTCAGAAGTTAGGGTAACAAGTTCGGAATGTGCTAGACTACTATCACCAGAAAATCCTTTGGCTGACTTTGCTTGAATGAGGCCACCGATGAAGTGGCATGGCATCACCGCCCAGGCTACCAGACCCATTCTCCAATTAACTTTCATGCTGACAGTTGTTGCAATCAATATGGATGAAATGCACTGGACAATGACGGACATGCGGTCAGATATTATGATCTTCACTGTGGATGTGTCACTGGCTATCTTTGATGTAAGTGATCCAATACTATTTTCGGGCTTTTCAAACCAAGCTAATTCATTTCGTAGTGTGGCTGCAAACAGTTTTTGAAATGTGATAAGCATCAACTTTTATATAGGGGACAAAATTGAATGTTAAAATATGCATCGAGAAAAGAGAAAATGGAAGAAAAAAGAAACATAGATTGATGGATCTGATCTTCCAGGAATGGATAAGTAGGATACCTGTGTACAAAGCTTGCCTTAGATTTGTCATGGCCTTTTCTCCAATTACTCCAAATAAGTAGTGCTGCAAAGTGTGGGCAAACAAAGAAACCACTCCAATTGAAGCAAATATTGCTGAATACAGAGCTACTTTCTCCTTTGAATCAGGATGATAATATGCCACTCCTATTGTTATGATGAAGAACCCAAAAACAGGTTTAGAGATGCCTGCAAAAGCTGCTGCTAAGGAGCCAATAGTAGTCTTTATGATCTCTTTCTCATTCAAGCCAAACCAGATTCTGAAAAATATGTGTCTCTCTTTTCTTCGGATCTGCTCCTTCTCAGGAAGATCCTTAAGCTCTCTTTTGCTTTCATTGGGCTCATCAGGTTGCGTATGGTCCTGAGATGAATCCTCTTGTATGGAAAGAACTTTTCTATTTGTAGCCTCCAACCTATCAATTAAATGCATTTCATTATCAATTAACCAGTCTGATTGTAATGATGAATATGGTATTGAGTTTAATCTGACCTAGTTTGACAATCTTGCGTGATGCTCTGCATGCTAAATAGCCTGTTGTAGAATATACTTGTATCTAAGAGGTTATTATGTGTTCCTGTTTCCACAATTTTCCCATCCTCAACAATAGCTATCATGTCTGCATTTACAATAGTTGACATTCTGTGTGCAATTAAGATGACTGTTCTGCCTTGTGCTGCTGTCTCCAGTGCTTCTTGAACTTGTTTCTCTGACTCTGTGTCAAGTGCACTGGTGGCCTCATCAAGCAAAAGAATAGGAGGATTTTTTAAAATTGCTCTTGCTATTGCAATTCTCTGTTTCTGTCCACCTGATAGTTGGAGACCCCTTTGCCCTACCTAGAGTAGGACATTTTAACAAGAAAACTAACTCAGCATGCTTCAATTTTTTCATGGAAGCTTTGCTATACAAGAATCAAGGCGTAGTTTCAGATGTACTTTGATCATGCTACAACTACTTTCCTTTCGACTTATCATATGCTTGGAGATGACAGAGGAGCAGTAAAGTATTTTAGCCATTAGAGACGGAAGAATTTAGAATCCTCAATTTAGGGTATTTGGCTCTTGATTTCCTATAGCAGCAATTAGTTTTTTATTATTAATTGTATTCTGCTGTTAGTTTTCAATTTACTATTTTAGGGGCTTTCTTACATGAGTTACCCTTGTTTGTTATCAAATTGTCATATCTTATGTCACTTAGTACTTTTAGTACCGGATGTAGTAGCCTGCTGTTCTTGTTTGCCTTCTTTCATTGTCCTTCTGTGCCAAACTGAATAAGCAACAGGACTTTCAGGTGATCTTAACAAATGCTTTCTTGAGGAAATGATTATACTGCAGGCTGCAAGCTGAAACTGGTGTTCATGGAATTATATTGGTTCACTTGAATAGTATATCTACTGTGAGAGGAGGAAAGCAATGTGTTTGCATTCTTCTACTTTAACATTCTCTTATGTTTAATGTTTCGAAAAGGATTTTCCAGATAAGTCATTTTGCCTTGGATCAGGTAAAGGCATGAGACTTGCTAGGTGCACACTTTTTTCTTTTCCCAGATGCTCTCTATCCTGTGATGTGCCTTTCGGTCTCCTTTTAGTTTCCAGTGGTGGAGAAGCAGAAAACCCTTCTTTCTTAGATAGTGAGTATAATTATTATTGCTATTAATTTTGACAGTGAGGTGTGTGGTTGGCTGTAGGAAGAGTTAGGAGAGGAAGAGGTAGGCTGAAGAAGAACTGGCGGAGGTGATTAGATAAAACATGCCACAACTTCAGCTTACTGAGTACATGACCTTTAGATAGGAAGGTATAGTGGTTCAGAATTAGGGTATAAGAGTAGTAGGTAATCGGGTGTTGTACTACTTCTAGTAATATGATTTAGGTATCACATAGTTTCTTTTCCTTCAATGTGTATTAATATTCGTAGCTGCACTTATTTTGTTATCTCTTTTTTTTTTTCCTAAATTTCTTGCATTGGCTAAATTTCTTTTCCGCCGAGGCTCTATCGAAAACAGCCTCTCTATCTCACAAAGGTAGAGGTAAGGTCCGCATTCATTCTACCCTCTCCAGACCCCACTTGTGGGATTACACTGGGTATGTTGTATTATTATCAACTTTCCTGTTCCTTCCAGCTTGATTCTGCCCATAACTCCATGACTAGAGAAAATCTAATCATTCATTCTATTGGAAATATACAGAACTGAATACCACAAACTATGTAGACAGTTATGTATCTTTTTTTTTTTCTTTATAGAATTAGCCTAATGAAACAGTTGGTCATGTATATGAGTGATAATGGTCTGACCTCTGTTAGATATTGATCCGGTAGCTGGGATATGAAAGAATGTGCATTTGCCAACAAGGCAGCTCTTTCAATCTGTTGATCATTTGTGTTAACATTTCCCATCTTAATGTTGTCTTTGATGCTGCCAGCAAATAGAGATGGCTCCTGCGAAACTACTCCTATGTTTCTCCTAAGAAACTTCAAATCAAGATCTTTGATGTTGTGGTTGTCAAGGAGAATCTCACCTGATGGTTTTCATACTGAGTGAGTTTTTCAATTCTTGTGTAATTTACCTATTGTATTTGATTGATGCAGTATGAACATTATGAAGCTTCTAGACATTTACATGTGAAACTTTCTTTTGTTATAGATGCTTCTGCAAATTCAGCAACTAAAAGTAATGATTAATAATTAATTTTTGACCAACCTCTCACGGGATCATAAAATCTCATTAGTAGTGACATGATGGTGCTTTTACCACACCCACTACCTCCAACAAGTGCCACTACTTTTCCTGCTGGAATTGACAAAGAAAACCCTTGAAGAACTAACTTCTCCTGCCGTGATGGATAAGCAAAGTGTACATCCCGTATGTTGATATTGCCATCTATTACTTCAAATGTCATCCCTCCGGAGTCGGCATCTATAGTGGGTTTTCTGTCAATCATCTGGAAAACTTCCTTTCCTGCTGCTTTTGCTTGATTGAAGATTTGTATATCTGGTGCAGCATACGTAAGTGATCTGAAATTTGAAAAATAAAAACTCATCTGGTTGCAGTTTTAAGGTACTTGAGTTTCTTCTTCATAATATGAAGAATCTGTTGAAGAATATGAGGTTTTTGCTCTTACATTGCTCCAAACAGAATACTCATAACTGCAGCTATGACATCTCCTCCTGTTGATCTCTTGGCTGTTACAACAACAGCTCCCACCCATACAATAAGAGACCACGAAGCGAAAGTTATACTCTGGAACGTGCCTGTTCCAAGACCTTTTATAAATGCTTCTTTCTTGCTTATCCTCATTTGTCTCTCTATGCAATCTGAGAAGGATGTGATTGATAAATTTTCTCCAACAAAAGCAAATACAGTTCTGATCTGGGAGATCGTCTGTCATAGAGCATCAGATACTCAGTATGAATAAATTGTTATTTGATATTGCAAAATAAGATTGGCAATCAGACTATGCGTTATAACATGAAATTGCTATTGAAGAAATTGCTATAACTTGTCACCTCTTCTACCATTGATGTGGCCTCTGACAGGTATGCCATTTTTATATTTGAAATCTCACTCATTCTCTTTGTGTAACTGGCGCCAGTTAACATTATCAGTGGGACAACTATTAAGGATAGGAGAGACACTTCCCAGCAGGATACGAATGCAATCAAGACTCCAGAACCAAATGTTGCAATGCATGATAGAAAATGTCCCAACTGTCACGTGAAAAGAAGAAATGTTAGGTATAAATGGATATTATAGATTGTAAATTAGATATTCATGAACTTCTGGATGTGCACGATGTTACAAGTTTTTTTTTTTGTTAATCAAATTTTCCACCTACTATTGGACAGTCTTTGAACTTGATTTTGTATGACAGGCAACTGGTGCCGGTACGAGGAAGCATCTTTGAGAATTAACTGTATCTCATTTGGGGAAGGGAGGGTTTCTTGAGTTGTTAAAGCTACTGATTATGAGGGTGCTCGAGTAGTTATTTATTCACGTTTATAAGCTCGAAATTGCCAAAAGTTTGTTTTACGCCTTATAAGCACTTTAGAGTTTAGGTTTTTTACTCACTCCTGCTACCTTTCATTTCCAATAGTCTTCTCTTTGTAATGATGTTTCTTAACTCAAATTTTTGGTAAATGCTTTGAAGCTAACAATAATGTTTACAGGGATGAGCTTATGCACCTTCTCTCCGATGGTGTCCTGTATGAGTGACATGTGGCTGCTTATGCCAGTAAGTACTTTGCCAGTAGTTAACTCTGTATCAAATGCCCCAATATCCTGTCTTAGCACTGCACTTAGAAATTTCAGTCTCAAACGTGCTACTTGTCTTTGACTAGCGTACATCCAGCATCCTATCTCTGCATATTCCACATTAGCACTTTTTAAGTTCAAAATTTATGGAGTTGAGTTTCTACTGTTCCAAATTAGTGATATTTTGAGTCTTGATTATTGAAACTTTAGTATGATAGTAGTAAGGTAGTTACCTAGCACTCCAGCAGGAAATGTTGCGAAGGCCATATACCAGACATATGGGACGACCTGAAATTAAGTGTAAGCAAAACAGCTGAGTTAAGACCCTTCTCCAAGTGAATATGTATTACACTTCCAAATACTTTATTTCACTTTTAACTTCAAATATTGTCCGAACGCCTACTTCATGATGTTCCAGTAAAGTTAGTTATACCTTTTTGAGTGCTCTAACCATAGCTGCTGTGTCATCAATATTGTTTCCAAATGCATCAAGGGCTTTGCCTAGCAAATAATAGCCAACAGGCTGGGCAAGTCCATGGACAATGGAACCCAATGTCCCCAAAGCCATGAGTGTCCAGTCAAGTGCATCTGCTTCACTTAGTAGTTTGTGAAATGGCAAAGTCTCAGACGTTGCCTTCTTAGTTGCATCATCCGCGTCCTCAGCTTTTTCTCTCTGCTCATCGTGATCATCAATGGCTTCTCTAACTTGAGCCATCTTTCTTTCTGTTGCTTTCATGCAAACGTACTTGCTCTATTTATATGCATGTGTTTTAACATATATTGAATACAAACATGTAGTTAATAACGTCCACGAGGAATATATGCTGGGATATACCTAAGGAAATAATATACAAATATAGTAATCGATCATGTTGTCTAACCTTATATATTATGGTATAAACACAGATTAATTAGTATGAGTTGTTGTCAAGTAGTGTTGGATCATTATATATTAATCAATATTCCATTAACTGGCATGAGATTATCGACAAAAGAGTTTAGTCTAAGCAACTTTGTTTATTTTTTTTGTCGAAGTCTGAGGATTATTCAGTTATAATGTTTTCAATTTTCTTTAAGATTGAGTCATTGGACCATTATTCAGTTATAATGCGTCATCTGCTATATATTCGTTATTCTGCGGTATATTCTATGAAGTATAATTGGTTTCCCTTGTTTTGATTAACGTAATTACAAATATATTAGTGTGACATTTTAAATCGATTGAGAGTGTTATTTTGATTCAATAATGTCACTTTGGGGGTAAGGTCTAGCAGAAACAACCTCTCTATCTAATGAAGATAGGGATAAGGTCTCCGTACATTTTGCTTAATTCAGACTTCACTTGGACACATTTTCAAGTTCATGGTATCAATGGCCTTAGCATATGCAAATACGAGATAATAATAAGATACAATAATCTTTAGACAACATAGAAATATACATTAATAAGTAAAAATATCATTCCCATTTATTTGAAATTGACAGCTGAATATCTATTATAACTGTAAAGTTGAATATAAACATTTTTCTCTACACAGAGATTTGTATGTTTGTATACTTAACATCTATTGGTTTGAAATCTTAGATCCTGTCAGGATTTTTTTACAAAATATTTTTATTTCAGCTCTTATTGACTTGAATACAAATACTTCATCCGTTTTAATTTATGTGACACAGTTTGACTTGACATGATATTAGAAAAAATGAAAGAAAGGTTTTGAAACTTGTGAAAAGAAAATAGAATATGAAACACTTGCGTTGTTCTTAATAGTTCATTGGCTATTGGGAATTAAGGGTTACCCATCTGATTGTCTTTAGTAGTTATAAGCAAGTGCAAGGTGGTACAACGGACGAATAGTTTAGTACCACTAGCAAAGGCTAATGTAGACGAGATTAGGATTTTAATTTTATGAATTCAACTTTTAAAGCTTTTAGTATTGAATCGTTATATTTCTAAAATGCTTTAATGAAGCAAAAATATTATTCAAAAAAACATATAAAACTCTCTAGCGAACAAAGCTAATAAACAAACTTTAAATAAAAAGAACATAATGACCATTGTTTTGGATGGATTCCACTGTATTATTGCTTTGTATTAGGAAATTAATTATGTCATCGAATTACTAATTCTAATATAAAGCAAGTACTAAGTGACAATAACCGGACCTTCTGTTTATTTAATAATTTACACTGTAAATCATAGAAAACGTCAACGTTTATGAATAATGTTCTTGATTTCGATTCATGAAAGGTGAGGCGAACTCAAGATTTGAAGATAGAGGACACCACTATCTCGTGAGGTAAAGTCAAGGCTTCAATCAATGCACTAAAACAAGTTATGATTATGAGAATGCATAATTAAATAAATGATCTTTTCTTAGACTATCTATACATATTACCCTTATATATTCCAAAAAAATAAAGAAGTTGTGAGGTTCACATACACCTTCATAGTATCATGTGGGTCTGCCTGACCGCCTCTGACGTTTATAAATAGTTTTCATTTTGTGAAAATATTCTACAAAAAAGTTACATATATAATTAACTCAAAAAAGGTTTTCAATCTCTAACATCTGTGAAGATTGAAGGTTATGGAAAGTATTCATAAATATTCAATACGATATCATAGATCTTGAGTCTTATCACCACTTACTTACAACAAATTTCACGTATTTAATCGAATAATAAAAATAAATTACCCCTATCTGAAGGGGTTAATTGAGTATCTCATCTCTAACTATTTAACCAATCAATCTTTGTTGCTGTATGCAGTAAAATTAAAAGGCCAATTGAGCTTTGAATTATGTGACAGGTAGTAGAGGCTACAAGTATGCAGAGGTGGAGCTAGACGTAGTTCGATCAAATCTAATAACTTTAGTTCAAATCCTATATTTGTATTAAGAAAATCATTAATTAAATATGTGCAAAAATTTAATTAGAACGGATCAGTTACTAACACATGATGTCACTATATGTTTTCAAATTTAGAACGCATAAAGTTCAAATCTTGGCTCCATCTCTGGTAATAGGTATCCATTAGAATTATGTTTGATGAGAAATATGTAGCATGCATTCTTTTGGATACATTCTTGGTTTTGTCTGTATGACATAACATTTTTGTACAATATATCAGACCTCTTTCTCAAGAGGATCTTTGCTTCTTTAAGACACCTGAAATGGTAGATATCCAGATGCTTGATTGCATTTCATCTTCGAAAAGAAGCTTGATGATTCCATTGTTCGTCCTCAAGCTAACAAAGTACTTGTCTTGAGCCTCCAAACATTCTTTTATGATGTTGATCAGCTTGTCTGGACAACGGCAAGTATTTTAGTATTAGGAGTTTTTTTTTATAATAATGCCTAAAAAGGAGAGAAGCATCAAGTTTTGAGGCAGAAAATAGAAAATTACATTCTTTTGAAGCTCTTAGAGTTCCAAAGTACTTCCTTTTGAGGCTTAGTATCAGTTGGTTTTGCTTCAAGTGTAGGGTCACCCATTTGTCCTCTTTATGTCCTGTGATGTAATAAACAAAACATATTTAGGCGGTGAAGTCCCACAAGTGAGGTCTAGGAAGGATAGAGTGTACGCAGACCTTACCCCTACCTCGTGGAGGTAGAGAGTCTGTGTTTCTGAAAGGCCCTCGGCTCAAGTGCTAAATCACCTATCTGCATCTCCGATAAGAAAATTTTCAGGAGGTTTGATTCTTACCTGAGGGCATTATTATCCATATTCGGGCGCCTGCAGTGAGCATCTCTGGGATCCTAGGAGAGGAATCCTCTATGGCTCTCGATTTAAGAATTGCAGCTCCTCGTAAACCTAGTAAACAAGCATTAAGCTTCCATCATTTAGAACGAACGTTAATGTAACACAAAAAAAAAACCCAGAAATATGTGTTAAGTATTACATGTGGCTGCTGTTGCTGTGACTGCAATCATATCCATTGGAGTTTGGATGGCCAGGCCAGAATTGACTGCAGATGCAACCTGAGCTCTTCCTGCTCCGAGAGATTCCGCTGCCTCAGCACATACCGTAGTCATCAGAGCAGCTGCTGAAGCAACTACATTACCTATATTGTGGCTCCATTTTCCTTCCCTTTCATAATTGATATGGTGCGAGTCTCGTATTTCTGAGCTGCTATTGCTGGCAAAGCCAGCAATACCTGAAGCAAGCTGTGTGAGAGAAAGTACAGCATGTAGTTTTGCTGTTTGTAATCGGAGTTTCTCTTTCTTCTCTTGATCTGATCTAAACAACCAAAATGGAGATTTGCTTTTTAGCCATCCCTTCATGTGATGCAAGTCCACCTATCATATGAAAAAGCATGAGCACAACCTTAGAGACTCGATTTCATCAACTCTGCGCAATAGTTATAGCTTGACATTCTAGTTAGTAACTAACAGCCAAGACTGCTGGTGAGACCTTTTATTAATGAATCTCTCCGAGTCATTGTACTGTTATCATTTTTCGTAGTTGATGCTTCAAAGTGTCGGTTTTGGGGGTGGGGGTGGGGGTGGTGGAAAGAGTTTGTGATTGATCACCTTAATATACTGTTTATTGGTAAAAGCTCTGTTGCTTGAACTGTCCAGTATTTCCTCATCTTGTTCTTCATAATCCTCTTTGCCTGCCGCGTCTTTCAACAAGAGATTCTGCAAAAGCAGAGAACTCTGTTAAGGGTGTTTATAATTCCAGTTTTGAATCAACATTATTATGCATGTTCAAGCAAGGCACCAATTCTCATAAGAGAGGGGAATGTAAACTACAGTAATTGCTGTTAGCTTTTCATTTGAAACGGATATGTTTGACGATTAACAATCTTTAATCATCAGTTATGCTTCTAACTGATATAGCAGAATGTTGGTTTCTTACACTTGATGAAAACATTTGCAGGAGATCACTAGAAGATGGACTCCACGGTCGACTCAAGAACTCCATTGCATTGGCAGGGCTGCTAGGTATCTCTGATGCTTGATTATAAGAAGTGAAATTATTTTTGCTAATTGGCTCGAAACACCTTCTAGTTCTTGTCAGAATTCTGTTCTTTGACTTACCCTTTTAACACAAAAAAATATACAGAAACGCGATCAGAAATCCTGTAAATCACTAACAACAACTAAAATAGAAGTGAAAAAAAACTCACATTGTTGTCTAGTGAACTCTGCTGAGCCATGAGTGGCATGGGATTTCGTCGTTTTCACCAGGAACTCAACTTGTACTAATTAAGTAGTTAATTATAAGACATGATCATGAAAACCTTTCTGAATGAAAGATTTTTACTAGTTATAGTGTTTACAGAAAAGGAAAGCTTATAGATGTGTGAAGTAAATGATTTAGATATAGTTAAACAAGTACCAGTTTTTGCATATATGTAATTGAATGAAACTTACCACAAGAGGACTACTTTGTTATATGGTTTGTGAGTGTAAGTCTTTGTTATTGTCGATATTTATGGAAAAACTTTCTATTAGAGGAAGGCATTGTGGGAATTAATGGGATATGATATGATTGTGAATAATATATTCATTCATATATTCTAACGTTAGATGGAATTGAGTGTAAAAGAGTGTTTATATTATTGCAATTGGCAACGGGATTTTGGGTCAACATGTGGATATCGATCGCCACTTTATGTTTAGGACCACAATCTTAGTTTTAACAATGCTCAATTACTATAATATACTAAGTTTAAGAAGACTAGTTGATGACTATGCAAAAGGTGATCTGGAACTTCCTCTCTTTCACACTGGTTGATCCAGAATTTAAACGTTATAGGTTCTGAATCGAAAAAGTGTGTTTACAAAATGTATATTCATTTTTATTTGTACTCATTTTTGCACTATATGCATAGAGTTGGACGTTGAAACAATGAATATATTCTAGTGAACCCGCAAATCCCATTCTTGGACGGGCAAACGGATGGGTCCGATCGGATATGAATGGGTTAAAAAGGGGTTAAGCAAAAACAAAAAACGGATAAAATAATTGACCAATTCATGTATCCATTCTTTAGTGGATAGTATTCATAGGCATAACACATAAATGTATCATTTAAAGTTGATTTTAGCTTACATATACTTAAATATTTATAAATTTGAACAACTGTCCCACACATCTTACGTGATGTAATACACATAAGAAATCTGCAGCCGCTATCCTTTGGGTAAATCCCTCGCTCTTATGCAATAGCTCGCAAACCACATAGGAGAGGTAACCCACACTAGGCAAGCCCAATGCGACGAGCTCGACCCAGAAGGCAAACTCCTTACTTTTTGCTGATAAAGGGTTTCGAACTTAATACCTCCAACATGGAAGTTTCAAGCCTAAACCACTGAGTCACTCTGAAGAATATAAATTTTCGCATAGTACGTCACATAGAATGTATATAAACTTGTTTAACTTTCTATAATTGCACATCCCATGTTGGAGGGCATTAATGTGAGTTGAGGACAACATGTTTAATAAAAGAATGGTTACTTTAGTAGCCCTACGGTGCTGTATACTTGGCATGCAACAATTTGGCCACTTGGCTATATATATGTTATACTCCTGAAATGGTGTTGGAAGTTAAATAAGGGAAGAAGCTAAGTTTGACATCTTGAAAGGGTACTTACAGCACGTGGCTGCAGGTTTATTACTGGGCAAACTCCATCAGTTTATTGATAACTGAACCCCTTTTACCTACACCAGCAAATGTCTCCAACTTTTATCTTGATTATTGGTGACGGAAGCATATTAGTTGCCTAAAGTGTGGCATCTTGGCGCTGATTACGCATAATTACGCTTCTTTTTCTTCGAAATCGCCAAAACCATTTTTTTTTATTACTATGATTTTTCACCTCCTGTCCATAGGTGTCAAGTGCCTAAAGCGGAGATCTTTGACTAAAGATGAAAAAATATTTATCATTCCATAATTTTTGACGGTATAAATTCAAGAAAAGGATTGCTCAACTGGTTTTCAGTTTGTTATGTTCTACTTTTTCTCCGATGGGCTACTATATTTGTATGGAGACAATTTTTTATGTTTTTGTTTTAAATTTTCTACATGGTGTCCAGTAGGAAAGTCTCATTTTGGGGTAAAACAGTCCCTGCAAAATAGGTTATTAAGTGGAGTACTCAAAGCTGAAATCTTTAGTAATTAAGTGGAGTACTTATCAGTTCACTACGATCTTTGATGGTAAATTTAAGAAAAAGATTGCTCAATTGGTTTTCGGTCTGTTATATTTGTATTTTACTTCCGATGGTCTTACTATATTTGTATGAATACGATTTTTCTTTGACTTTCTAAGAACTTAATTGAGAAAAGTTTTTGGTTTTTTACTATACGGAGAATATTCTCAATGGGAAATGTTCGTCTAAGGAGATCATTATCATTTGAATTATTTCATACTAGTGAATATATAATCGTTAAAGAAAATTAAAATATGATAAGATCATTTTTTTTGTTATAATTTTTATAAAAAAAAAAAAAATTGTTTTTGCCTTTTGATCAATTTTATCTCTTCATATTCCGTAATCATAATACTATCGGTTGTTTTTAAATATAATTGCATACTCTTTTTTTTTTTCAGGTAACTAATTGTATATACTATTAATCTCCTGAAATGCAATTACAAAGCAGTTAACATAGAATTTTAAATTTCACAACGTATATCATACTCTTTCACAAGAATTTTACTGGCTGATTTGAAAATCTAGATTGTAGTGCAATATCTTTCTTGATCTATGAAATTAGTAATACTTAGAAGACAAATAATACTTTCATTCATGATATATTTTTCAACAAAATAACAAAGTTTATTTGAATAAATGCGTTAAGATAAATAAAAATATTTTCGAAAAAGAATGACATCAGAAGGAACCAATCACATACACTTCTGTAAATCCAAATGGGTATTCACATACATACACATTGATATTTGTTCCAATAAAATAAAAAAAAGGCTTTAAATGGCACCACTACATTGGGAACCCTGCAACTTTATCAGGTTTTATGAAAACACAATCTTTTGGTGTGTTCCATATCTCTAATTATTTCCCAGAAATGAAGTATAACTTGCACCATTTTAACACGTTCTACAAAATCTATATAATGAATGAATAACGAAAAGACAAAAGGGATTACAGAAGGTAGTATTGGTGACATTTTTTGGACCGATTCATTTTTTTATCAAGGGAATTCCATCCATAACGTTAGAAGCTAAATACGTCCTCTTTCTTGACAGTAGCACTTGGGAGTACGAGCCTAAGAATAACATTGACTGAAGCAACTGTTGGAGAGAAGGCATAAGTACATGTTGAAGGAGGATACATTGCCTAAACTTACTGTATCCTGCATGGATATATTTCTAGGCTACATTTCAAAGCCTTGCACTACTTTACAAATTTCACAAAGTTAAGTGAAAAAAAGATACTTCCCTTGTTACATGACGAGCACCCTATGTTTAATTATGAGGGATGGGAAGTTTGACTTCAAATGTCCTCCTGCTGTGCTCAATAATGTCTTAGCCTACGTAAAGACTTGTTCACAGGTCGAAAGTGAGCATGGTTAGGATATCAGCAATTCTGTTCTTAGATAACAATCTATCATATAAGGTTTATCTTCTCACTGGTTGTGGCATGCCTATGCTGTCTGAGATCTACCATTGGGATCTTAAATTTCCTCTAAAGCTTCAACTAGATATAAATACTTAAATCCTGTTTAAGTTTAGAAAACTATTTTGATTGAGTGTACATATTTAAGTGTCTTGGATGCTGGATGGTGATCCAACACAGCCTCTAGTCCTCTACTAATGCACATCTACTACAGAAGGAACTACGAGACGAAGAATAGGTTTGATTTTCAACCCAATAAGGCAACAACCTAAAATACCTGGACTTCATCGAAATTGTACTTCAAGTTGGACCTAATTTATAAGGTTACTGCAGAAGAAGAACAACAAAGTAGGTGCAAGAAGCAAAAATACCAGTAACATAAATGAAACAGTAGGAACAGGCACGGCAGGAAATTGTATTTTTCAATTAACCTTATATTTGGGCATTTATTTTTGCAGAGAAACACAAATCTGATAACACCAACTTGTCATTCATTCAAGTAACTCTGAACTTTAGAAATTTGTTCAATGACTAAACACATGTTTCCAACTACTTTCACGAGACCATATAAATGGAAAAATTATAGTCAGAGGACTCTCTCAATGATACAAATAACACTCAACAGATTACAACAAATATCCAGCTAAATTATGGGTGGAATCTTTCACTTTCCCCATCTTGAAAGGATGAGTAAACCAATAATGGTGAAACATGTCCCAGCAACTATAGTCACCACTAAAGCAAAAGCATATACAAGACTTGGAAAGTTTAAATATTTCTGTATTCTCTTTAGTCCCTTGTCAATGGCAGGTGCCAGAGCAGCTGCTCCTGCAACCCTAAATGGCCTTGTCACATTATTTCCCGTCCACATTGCGATTATAATCTGCCGTTATGAAGAGTGTTTTTTGAGCAAAGGAGTAATGAAAATACAAAAGTGGGCAATTAAAATAGCACATATCCAATTGGGAAGTAAGGTGCAGATTGGCACGGGGCACCATGAAAATTCCGAGTTCCCTATAGTTGCTAATTGATTCTCATTAGTATTATTGTTACAGAGTTTGGCCTGAATGCTCTTTTTGGTAAAGAGGAGAAGAATGACATTAAATTTGATCTAAGATAAAGGAACTCACGATTTGGTGAAAAGGAAAAAATGGTCTTAACTTTGATCTAAAGAAATGGAAAAGACAATTTCAGTATGCTAAATACTGAAGTGGCTATTCTACGACAAGTGAAAATGCTATGATAAGCATTCATCCAGTATCCTAAATGTGAATACCACATATTTCCATAATAAGGTAACTTTTACCTTTGCACTAAAATGTTCAGGAAATTAAGTCTACAACAACAACGCAAGTGAGGTTTGGGGAGGGTAAGATGTATGCGGACCTTACTCCTATCTTTGTGGGGTAGAGAGGTTGTTTCCGATAGACCCTTGCCTCAAAAGAGAAGTTATTCTAGGAAATCAAGTCTCCATTTCTCTAAACTAAAGCTAATGCCATTTCCCCCCTTTTATTAATTGGTCATTTACCAGAAACAATCAATTGCATATTTCATACCTAATTAATAACCTTAAAATAAAGTATTAGTAGCAAAGAATTACTACTTACCCCCAACAAAGATTGGAGATTTGCAGCAGGATTATTGCCGGTGGTCTTCTCATAGCCCATAAATGCAAGCACAAAGAAACTAGTGTATGTGACACCATCAATAATACCATAAGCAAGAACTGCCGCAAGCCCCAGCTTTGCTAGCTTCGCACTCATTTCCGCTGAGTTCTCCTGATAAACAGAGAGAGAGAGAGAGAGAGAGAGAATCAATAAACCAAATGTCAAATAAGTTTTCAACAAATCCCTCGACATTATACTGAAAAACAGGAAATTGGTCTACTTTACCTTCCATTTCTTCCAAAACCCTCTGCTCTCTTGGTTCTTATTCCACAAAAAAAAAAATTAAAAAAAAATCAGAAAATCAATAGAAGAATGGGATGTGTGTCTGTGTGTGAGAAAGAAGAGTAAGACTGACATCTAAATTTTTGTTTTGTTGGAAAAAGTTATCATCTGCGGTAGATCCGTACTGACTTGGGGATGAACATTTGATTGATAAATGCGATAAAGGGTAAGTGTTGAGCAAGTTGAAATTGCTCCTTTTAGCTTGAATTTGTAGTGATGATAGGAAATAAGTAAAGTGTCCTGTGCTACGAGGAGAAAACAAGAAGCTAGTTGGGAAGCCATGAGCAGTAGCAGCACTGGCCATTCCACCTCTTCTTTGCTTAGCTGTTCCACGACACTTCGCTTAATTGGCGTTTAATCCAATCCTCTCCATTTTGTTTGGCTATACCACTAAATAAAATAATCTACTTAATTGTCACAAGATTAAAGTTGATTTTTAATATTAAAGAAGAATGCACCGTATTTAGGGGAAATAATCAATATACTTTTATTAAGGGAGAGTAACTTAGTAAACTGTATTTTATATTTATGATTTTTTAATGAACCTGAAAAAATATGGTTGACGCATATTTGAGTTGCTTTTATGAGATTTTACCTTGAAACGACAATACTGATTACTTGTTAAGAAAAAGAAAATTTTGTCAACATTAGGTATTTGGAAGGAAAACAGATCATTTTTGCCTATGATTTTTTAAGATGTTTCAAATTTCTATAAAGGGTTTTGAAACTTCAGGTGAATATCTGATAAGCAATTTAATATCTGTAGTTCATGTATAACAACACTTCAGTTTCCAGATAATGTTTAGTCACAATTCATCAAAGCCTTACAGCTTTAATACTAATATACATAAGAAAAGGTCCCAACTGGACATAAATTATTTATGAAACAATAACTCTTTGGAATCTGGAAAAAGAGGCCAGGTCTCATGTCTAGCTGCATTACCACTATAATCGCATCTACAAGAATTCACTAGTTTGGCTGAACAAATCGGTTTTCTGTGATCTCGAACCCTGGAATTCCTTGCCTTGCTGCAGAACAAAAAATCCATTTCCTAAGAACAGTTTTCATACTGAGTATATACTTACCTAAGTGATGTGCTGCTTATAGCATCTTCATGATGAGCATTAGCACAAATAGAACTTGTGACACTGAGTTTTCTTAAAAAAGAGATCGACTTAATTTCTACAAGTTAGCTGCCTCCTCTGCACCAGCTGCATCTACGGGTTCCTTAAATTTTGCCTTCTCACTAAGCTGTTGAAATGCATTTACAAGATTTTGAAGTCTTGCAACAAACTCAATTAACAAGGAAGTAAAAGTGGCCAATGACAATGGACATGCACTTTCAAATGTACGTACTTCACGTTCATTTAAAATCACATCTCCAAGAATTGAAAGTCGTGAAGGCCACACCATCGGATTGAACACATTTCCAGAGGAAGACATTTGTGCAGCAGAAATATTCATACTTGAATTTCGATTATAAGTATCCATGTGTTTCAATGTATGAGCAGACCTTAGATTGAGACCTGCTTCACTAAGGGAGTTTATCCCAATGCCTTTAGGTTCATTGTCTTTCAGTTCCTGAATATGTTCAGGATCTTCAAACTGGTTAGCTTGCTTTGCATTTTCCCAGTTCTCCACCTGAACCAAAAGATAAGATTTTTGGTCAATCAACAGTTGTAGATCCTCAGCAGCCTCATGAACTTCTTCGAGAAGGTCTCTAGGGCTAAGTTTCTCCATTTTTTCAACTTTGTCTCCAAGATGTTGTAATACTTTAGCTCCTTCAATCCCAACTCTCTGGATCTCCTTGCAGAAGATTTGCCTCAAATCAGATGCTGCCTACAAAAGGAAAAATTGCATAAATTAATATGAAACCATGAAGCCTAAAGTCTATAAATCATTTTCTCAGACTCCTCAATGAGTAGACTGGCATTTTTTTTATGTTTATTTATTCCGAAGAATCTATATTTGGAATAGATAAAAGTATAAAAAGGTATGTTTTTAGTAGTAAAAATGAATTACCTAATTCAAACAAGTGCATTATTTTAAATGCATCTGCAATAAAATAGGATGGCAGTTTGATAATTGATGTGCAAGTGTTATGAAGGAGTTGAAGATTGAAGCTTTACCTGTATTTCTGAAAGAATACAGCTATGCATAGCCATGACCATGAAAGCGCAATGCCTCAATGCACCACTGACTTTAACATAATCAGCCCACGGATAATTGAACATCTTGTAACGGCCATGAGGGGGTTCCCATTCAGCAAAAGTTAGCTGCACCAGGAATATTGAAAATTAGTAATAAAAGAAATAGTGTAATCTCCCAAAAGTTACCAGCTGTGATTGCCAATGAAAATATATGTGTACCAGAGAATCCTCTTGGCTTGTTGACTCCAAAGCGGCCCTGTATCCGCTATACACAGGGTCATCAGAGGCCTGGTAAACAAGAATTTTTGATGGTATCCGATCATATTCAAGACATTGCAAATATCCATTGACACAACCTAACAAGAAGCGTTACAGGTATTCAGTTCTGCAGTAGCCTGGAGGTAGCAAATTCAAAGACAAATTGAAGAATATTAAGGAAATTCCTCACCTTCCAAAGAAGTAGAAACACGTTTAAAATTCTTTACCACCAATTTGTGCAAATCTTCACCAGCCCAAATAGGGTAGAGGCCAACATTTACAAGCAAACAGACACCAGCACCAACTCCAATTAGCAACAATCGCGAAACAGCTGCGTGAAAAAAATGTGAAGTTCCCGATACCAGCACAATACAATATGTCAACAAGAACACCCGAAATCCATATTCATATTGCTTCATTGCAGGATACAATTTCAAGTAAGTTGCAAGAAAACCTGAAAATCAAAAGAGAAAAGTAATAAGACCAAAGCTGCACACAAGTACAAGGAGAGGAAGTGACAGGTAAAAATCAGATGTGCATTAGTCTCAAAACATATGCAGCAATTCACCTTATACAAACCTGCTTTCAATTTTATATTATGCATTATTGGTGTTATTGGATTGTCCATTTAATGGTTATGCATAAGAGAAGAAATAGGTGGTAGGTAATTCTAGTTGGTGCTTCTCTGGTATGTTATAAGTCTTAGTAAAAGTGGTTATGGAGAAGATTCGCGACTGATTCTTAGACTTCTCTACTTCCTTTTCCTCTCTAGCCTGATCTTATCGTTCTACTCGCAGCAGCAAGAATCCCTCTTCTTAAATGAATAGAAAGATTGGCACTTCAACAGTTCAACTGCTACGTTTTGAAATAAAATTGAACCCTATGTGCCTGAAGTTTCTCACACATCATGAATAAGGCAAAGTAAAATTTCAAAGATATTTCAAATGAGACCTGAAACAAAAATGCTGACCACAATCACAACCTCCTGCCAATCTCCAGCCATAACAGATAATTCAGCAATGCCTACAGCTAGTCCTGCGGCAGACAATGTCCCCAAAGCCCTGTTGAATCCTTTGCTGAGTGTCGCACCTAGCATTTTTTTATAAATCAATTAGATTATGGATATCAGCTATAAACACTCATCCACTAAAAATAGACAAATGTTACTTATCAAAATAAAAAAATATCAACATACATTTATGTAAAAGAACAATGGACAGTTAAAGTGTATCATCAATTTCATGATAACTGCTTACTACCCTGCGTAAACATGAGCTATAAATTAACCATGCCTCAACCCCAAACCAGTTGGGTTATTTGTGTAAATCCATGAACACTCTCCTCTATCAGGACTTGTTTCATTCCAATGCTAAATAATTTAAATACGAGTACATATTAAATACCATAATCAATACAAATCCGCTTTAACTATCTGGATCTCAATCCCAAGTAGTTCAGGTTGGCCATAAGCTTTATCATCATTTAATCATTTGGTTCTATTTAGGCTCATTTGCCTCTAATTACTTGAACACGACGATATTTAACATAACTCTCATTTTATCCAAATACTAAATAATTGGAATGTGAAACAAAAATTTGAATATACCTATGCTGAACTCGAATACGACGACAACAGTGAGGATGGCCCAAATGGAATATGTACCAATATAGGATAAGGGCTCTTTGAAGAAAATGATAACCGAAACAAGGGAAAGAGCTAAACCCATTTTAGCAGCAAAAATGACCTTTCGAGGGTCCTTACGACCCATATCAATTGCCTTGATCGAACCGTGTTTAACATTACTGCATGATTTCTTAATTCTATTGCATAATCGACCCCAAAATCCTTCGCGTTCGACGTAAAATGATGGATCCAATCCATACTCTGAATATTTGGGAATCAATCTCTCTTTGCTCGTTTCGTTAAAGTTTTGGCTCAATGGCTCCGCCATTTTTGGCTGTTATTTGAGATCAATTTTCATAAAAGCAACAAGCTAAATTATTTTTTTGGGATTCTTCTTTTTCTTCGAACAGATGGAAAAGAGATGAAATCAGGCCGATTTCCGAAATGGCTCTCTGTATATTCCTCAATATCCAGGATATTCACTAAACAATGATTAATTTGATGGAAAATTTTTGCATGATTTTTTTCAAAGATAGATGGAAGAGAGAATGATATTAGCAACGGTCAGTCATGATAGTTTCCTTTTAATGATACTCCACTAATTGTATTACCAATTCTTAAATGGTCAAATTTATCCCTAAAATAGCGAAATAGAAACTTTCTAACTTTACACTCGATAAATTAATAATCTTTTTAAGATAAAAAAAGTTTCTCCATCGATTTCGATAATATAATAAGATATATAAATATAAATTAATAATTCTTTAAAATTAGAAAAATATTCATGACAATTTACTAAATATGATTATAGTGTTTTTAAAAAAAAATTCAAATCTAGTTAAAACTCATCTCTCACTTTTCTTATTGCATCTAAAAGTTCTAGTGTTATATTCTCTGCAAAAAAAATTGTGAAAAGTTCTAGATGCGATAAGTGTTTCCTTACGCATAACAGATTCTAAAGCTATTGTATCGTCTTCAACTTCATCATCAACATTGTTATCTCTAATATTATCCACAATTTCTTCTAAACACACTGAACCTCTTGACATGTATAATTTTCACCCAAATAATCAAACAAACTTGCGGCAACCAAGATCATTAATCATGACCTTAAATTTATAAATGTCATTTTCATAAATGGGTTCACTTAATTCCATATGGCTTCATTAAACCTCGAAAACACTTCTATCACTTAATAATACCTTTACAAAATAGTAATATTTGATGATAACAACAATATTAATTAGAGAGATTTTACATGTCCTTAGTTAATAATTGAGGTCAATTATTGTTGTTGCGGGATAAAAACTAAAATAATTCAAATTAATATATATATTGTTAAATCTCATTGGCATAATTTATTTATTTTTTAATTCTCTTATTTGAAATCCTTACTCTGCCTCTACTTGTATAGAAGTTCTTCTGTCAAATATCTTTCTGATTGAAAACATCCAAATCTGCTGTGAGAGCTTTTGTGCTTTGTTCTTTAAAGAGTAGAGCATATTATTATTAGAACAACAAAAAGGAATTGCAATTTGAGGGCAGCGCTCTTCATCCTAGCACCAATGTGATTCTCATTCGCCCGCTCCACACGTAGCTTGCTATAGGCATTGAATGGCTTCATCTCCTTGGTAATCTTGATAAGATCTACAGATGGCTTCTCACACGCAACAGGCATGTAGGCACCATGAACTTGAGTTGCTGTAGCCAATCCCTCAAGAGGGCAGAATCACCAACCTGAATGCAGTTGCAACAATTAGGAAACGAACAGGGAAAACACTTCACATATTCACAATTATGTTTCCAATTACTAGCAACTACTTATCTTACCTTGATTAAGACAACTAATGAAATTGGCCTTGTAGGTTTTCAAGACATCAGCTTGAAGCCCCTCAAGTAACCGATTCCTGCAAGGATGATCAACAACAATACCAATTGTTGAAGCCAGTTTCTTAGGGATGCCTGCAGCCTGGCAGTTCATACTCAGAACATGCTCATCTCACAGTTAACTTTATGGAAAATTGAGCCATAAAACTCAATAAAACAAACCTGAAGTTCCTCAAGAAAATCCTCTACCAGACCTAACTTTCATGTTGTATTTGAGTGTCAGACCATGGACAACAGGGTGGAGAGCTCCAGCAGTTGTTGTGGGGGGAGGGAGGGGGGGGGGGGATCTTCACAGCCATCTCTTGCCTTGCTGCAATTGGATTAAACAAAAAATAATCAGCAACCTGTTCGCCATACTGCGTATATGAGAGCAAAATTAAAACAAGAAAACCAGAATTATATAGCAAAATTAAAATAATCAGCTTGCGTGCTGGTTGATTGAACCAGGTCTTCACACGGATATCAGTGTGCTTCTTGAAGTGCCCATTAGGGATAACATTGTTATGCTTCATGTCTCAACTACATTGTCCAATAGTTATAATTGACCGCGACTTAACAAGAGTCATTACAGTAATATATAATGCACTAACATGTGTATAGTAAAATGCATGGACAAGCCTTAAAGAGAATATGAGAAATCAATCAACCACTGACATCAACCTATACATTTGTTTTTTTTATTTTATAAGAAAGGTGTCTAGGCCAGCTTGGCGCGCACCTGTAGTAATTCATGTCATATTTGACACCCTCCCTCCCGCTACCTGTGGAAGTTGATGAGAGCTTACCAGGAAGTAGCTTTCACCATGCTGCAAACTCTGAACAACAAAACCATATTCATTAACTGGGAGTGGCACCCCAGAGGAGTGATACAAGATTAAGTCTTCGGGGCCGAACATAGCCTTCATGTCAAGTGGCCCCCTGGGCACCTGTGTTGCTACTCCATTAATAAAAACTGTGATAAACCCTGTAACAGTATGACAGTCATACTACTTCAGTAACCTGTGCTGAAACATAACTGACTAGCAAAACAGTATGCAGCTACAGTACTTTGGATGTAATAAGTGAAAGGAAGAGTTAATGAGCAGAAGATCAAATGCAAGAGTAGAGAAAGAAGCTACAGTATGAATTACTGGGCGTACAGTAACGAGAAACAAATAGAATAACAGAATTTACCCAGTGAATATAATCTTCCGTGCATGCCTACTGACCTATCATGAATATCACTCCCCCTCAAGTCGGTGCATATGTTGAGTTTGTTAGGTATATACTAACTGGATCCTTGCCTAAATTTGATAAATATGTCTCCAACTTGATCATTCTACTTCACAAATCTCGTAACAATATCTTCTATTAATTCCCATTAATAGTTGAGAATAAAGTGTTTTATCAAATTCAAACATGTACAAACTAAGCTAAAGTAACAACAACAACAATAATTCTAGCTACTTGTAATTTAAAACAATATTTGCATAAATGATCTTTGGAACCTGAGGAAGAGCAATTCAAGTTAGAATTGTCTGTTGGTGAGCACAAAATTGAGGTGATAGAAGAGTTTTGATCAATTTCCATTGGACCAGAAAAGAGGAAGAGGCCATCATTTGCATTTCCCACAACTCCTCCAAGCGAAGAAGAAACAGATGAGGGGACAAAATTAGTCTGAAACTGAATTGCACCACCACTACTAGACCTTGCAGATTGTTCTTCAATACTGTTACTGGCAGCACTAAGGCTCGCCTGAATTTGTCGTTGACGACGGCGAGACCTCGACCGCCGATTTTGGAACCAATAGAATACGTTTGCATCTCCAACGGCTCCAAATTGCTCCAGCATTTTCCTGATTCTAACTGTCTCGTCTTTTTGAGGATTTACCATCCCACTATTAAAGATGGATTCAAGTATTACTATTTGTTCCGGCTTTGGGTTCCACCTTGATCTTACTGTTTCATTTCTTTCACAAGACTGATTTGACGAGCTAGAGTCATCATCCATGGCGGAGTGAAAAAGATAAAAAAACTCAATTCAAGGGTAAAAATACTAAGAATAAAATGTAAACAGAAAGTGACATAAAAGGGAATTCTTTGGGTATTTAAAGGCCTAAAGAATGAAGGGAGGATAAAATTACTGTCCTGTCCTTTTCAACTCTAGATCTGTTTTCAGTTCAATTGCAAAGGTGTGTATTCGTACATTTTTTCGGCGTCGAGTTTTATTGGAATAAAGACTAGATTTATCTTGAGATTCGGAATGTTTCCTTCCTAAGGGGGAATGGTTAATAATTAGCTCACTTGAACTACCAAAGTCAAGAATTTTGTATTAATCGTATTTAATACTCCCACCGTCCCACACTCCGCTCTTCCGTCTAATAATCGTTCACTATTAATTTTGTATGCTTTTTAAAAAATTATAAATAAAAATATTAATTTTACTATATCACTTTTTAAATATAATGTCTTGAAAAATATAATAGATAAATAACTACAATTAATGATAAGGATAAATTCATAACTAGGAATAAAATAATCTATTGATTTCATAAAATAGATAAGTATTGTTGGACATTCCAAAATAGTATAGTGGACAACTAGTGTTGGATGGAGGAAGTATTAGTCTTACTAAAAATAATTGTCTAGTGTTTATCTTACTAAATCAAGACAACATTAATTATATTTTTCTTACTCCCTCTCTGTCCTTAATTAGTTGTCCACGTTTCCTTTTTTAGTTGTTTCTAATTATTTGTCCATTTTGCAATTAATTCTTTTTGAAAGTATTTACATTTGTTTGTAAAATGCACTAGAAGGTTTTAAGAGGTGAGGTAGTAAACTCATCTACTTATTTATGATTTCTTAATATGCATGCTTAGGAAAATGATCAACTAATATGAATGGAGGGGTATATATATATAATGTGATGCTCTTTATTTTAATTAAGTTTTTCAAAAATATGATTTTTCTTACATTTAATGATAATAATTTAATTTTAAAATACATTTTATTCATAATAAAATAATTTAAGGATAAAAAACACTTATACTATTTCAATATGGTGATAATTCAGGTAGGAAATTTGCATTTTTAATATTTCAAGTACGAAACTCAAAAAATTAGGATAGTTTTGGGGTCAGTACTGGTAAAAACTTACCCGCACCAATTATATACACCAAGTCAATACATGAATGCCACGTGTTCAAATTTATAGTTTATTTTACTTAACCATAATTAATAAATATGTGTTTACTTTATTAAATCACGTAAAATAAAAATTGCATTAGTTTGTTGTATATACCTGACACTTACAACACCGGGGACAAGGAATTTGCTTGCGTTACTCCGAGACTCTGACCAAAAGAGTGAAAGCCCTAGTGTTTTAGACCGGGTCGTTCATTCATCTCTTTTATTTCCTTTTAAACTTCTTAGTTACTTCCCTTTTTCTTCTCATTTCTTTTCAATTTACTCAATGTTTTGATTTTACTTTGTTTCTTACAATTTTGTTTTCCCTCCCAAATTCTTCTCCCTAAATGAAATTCTAACATCTTTTTTTTTTTTTTACAAAAACCCCTTTAATGGTTTCCTGTATTTTATGTACCACAAGTCAACTCATCCCTCCTGGGTGAATAAACACACACTCACAATTTTCATTCATACTAAATTTCATTGTTTTCTCTCTTTTTTTTTTTTTATAGAGATTAAAATCTATACGCTATTGGAATAAATAAATTTGCATACTATCAAGTCATTCAAATCATAGTACAAATAAATCTTCTTAGGACTTGGAACGTGAATTTGATATCTGTCTAAGAATAAAATATTGTATCATGTTAGAATAAATAAAAATGATTTATTGTTTTTACAGTGAAACTTAATTTTATAAGCTGTAGGCTGTAGCCGCCATCCCCAATGGACAGCTACACGTGAGGCTACAAGACAATAACAATCAATTGTGCAGCTGAAGCCCATATGCAGATGAGTTTAGTGCATATGTAAGCCCTTACATCATAACCTTAACATTAATTAATTTTTAAAGTTTAACTATATTACATTAATTTGATATTTAAACAAACAATATAATTTGATATTTAAACAAAAAATGTAGATATGTAAAAATTGTACGAAAAATACTATAAATAGTAATATTTTACATATCAATATGATAAAGAAAATATATCATAAAATGTTAGTCAAAGTGCTTATCGTCCGACTCTAAAAAAGTAAACTATGACAATTGACAACCAGTGGCGGATACATAAATTTTGTATCATGGGTGCTCAACTATTTTTAGCTCGAAAAATGCTACATATAATGGATGCTCAGTTAATATATTTCAATACATTTCTAAATTTTGTACATAAATAAGAATGTTGACACAAAAGGTAGTGGGTTCTTAAGCACCCATAAGTGACTACATAGGTCCGTCACTGTTGACAACTAAAAGTGCATGAAGGAAGTATATAAAAAGACAATTTTACTATATCATATTTGAGTATAATAAATTCAATATTATAGAAAGTCAATTTGACTAATTTGATATTTTAATTTATAAGACACAATTAACATTTTACGATGTATTTTTTCATTATATTAATATGTAAAAAAATACAATTTATAATATTTTTCATATAGTTTTTGAATATCTAAATTTTTATTTAAAATATTATAATATAACTTTAAAAATTAATAAAATTATCTTTTAAAATGTATAACACGACAATTAAAAATGTAGTGCGCGAATATTTACTGCGTTGTAAGGAATATGTCAATGTCTATACTGGACGAAGAGAATACTTATATAAAAGCACCTTTCTTCTTTCTTCATTTGCAACTAAAAATCATTCAACACTACACATCTTTCAGTTAAGTTCTAACACTAAAAATGGCTTCTGAGTCAAGATTAGAAGAGCTAAACTTTGTTTTGATACCATTACTTGCTGTAAGTCACATCATACCAATGGTAGACATTGCCAAATTGTTAGCACAAAGAGGCGTGATTGTCACTTTAGTCATGACGCCTCTCAATGCTATCCGATTTACTGCAGTAATTGATCGCGCCATCGATTCTGGACTCCTCATTCGGGTACTTCATCTCCGATTTCCAGCCAAGGAAGCCGGATTGCCAGAGGGATGTGAAAGTGTCGATCTTCTACCCGGTCTAGATCATCGAAGAAATTTCTTTACTGCAATTGATATGCTACAAGACCAAGCTGAAAAATTGCTTCAAGAGATGAAGCCTAAGCCGAGTTGCATTATTTCCGATATGCATATTGCTTGGACAGCTGAGACAGCTGATAAGTTTCAGATTCCGAGAATTATTTTTGATGGAATGAGTTGTTTCAATCAATTGTGTATGCATAATTTGTATATCATGAAGGATCAAAACAGAATCCCTGAATTAGGCCATTTTGTGATCCCTGATTTGCCTGATAGAATTGAAGTAACTAAAGTTCAGCTGCCTGGAACGTTTAATCCCTCGTCAGTTCACGTGCAAGATTTTCGAGACAAAATACGAGCAGCTGAAATAAGTGCCTATGGGGTTATAATCAATACTTTCGCGGAGTTGGAAGAAAGTTATGTTGATGAATTCAGAAAATTTAAAGATGGTAGAGTTTGGTGTATTGGGCCTTTGTCTCTCTGTAACAATGAGAGTCTAGATAAAGCGCAGAGAGGGAATAAGACGTCATTTGACGAAGAGGAACGTTTGAAGAAATGGCTTGATTCATGGCAGCCTGAGTCTGTTGTGTATGTGTGTTTGGGAAGCCTTAGTCATACCACAGTTGTACAATTTGTGGAACTGGCTTTAGGCCTGGAAGCATCAGGTTATCCGTTTATTTTAGTCGTAAAATCAGGGGAAAGACAAGCACCAATAGAGGATTGGATATCGGAAAATGGATTTGAAGAAAGAACAAAAGAGAGAGGACTTTTGATCCGGGGATGGGCACCACAAGTAGTAATTCTATCGCACCCTACAATTGGTGGGTTCTTGACTCATTGTGGTTGGAATTCGTCCCTTGAAGGGATTAGTGCTGGTGTGCCTATGATCACTTGGCCTTTATTCGCGGAGCAGTTCTTAAACGAGAGATTTTTAGTACATGTCTTGAAGACGGGCGTGGGTGTTGGATCTCAGGAAGTTGTGCATCTCGGTGAGGAAGAGAAATATGAAGTCCAAGTGACCAAAGAAGAAGTGACGAAAGCCATAAAAGAAGTGATGGACAAAGAGAAAGAAGGAAATAATAGGAGAATAAGAGCCAAAGAAGTTGGAGAAATGGCAAAAAAAACTATAGAAGGAGGTGGATCTTCTCATCTCAGTTTGACACTGCTAATCAAAGAAGTACAAGAATTCAACTCAACCAAATAGCTTAAAATGACTATGCACAAGTATGCAATGTACTTATTTGATTTTTATGTTTTTAGTAGCGGAAGGGGAATTGGGGAGGGAATTAGAAAGTGGAGAATCAAATCCTCACAGGTGAAAATTCAGACAACCAATCAACTGAACTACTAAGATTCCCATTACTTTTGTTCATGTTTGCACTTTTGTTCTATGACTATGAGGTACCCGAATAAAACAAGAAACAGTTATAGATTAACTTTGCCAGTTTCAACTTTCAACAATGAGTATATAAAGTATAATTAAGTGATTGGTGACTGTATTACCACATATAAAGTTGCCAGTTTCAACTTTCAACAATGAGTTATATATAAAGTATAATTAAGTGATTGGTGACTGTATTGCCACATAAAAAGGAACTGTTGTCTCATAATGTGCCTCGCCAAAAAAATTAGTAATATTTCTATCATAGTATAAGTTATCGAACTTAAAGTTAATCTTACAAAAGTCGATCTTTTATTGGACGATTGAAACTGGGAATGTCAGCTTAGACTTGAATGACAAAATTGATTAGTTATCATGTACACATGAAAGAGAGACGACTGTAAGATAGTTAGCTGACTTTATCACATGAAATGTCGAGTTGCATTTGGTCAGATTTTCTTAATTAGTACTTGAATAATTGCTCAAAGTGCCGTAATGGACTGCTATACTGAGGCTACAAGATTAATTTAATGCAGATGTAAGCCCTTACATGATAACCTTAAAAAGTAGTAACACTAGCACACTTAATCTTTCTTCATTTGCAACTATATCATATTAAAGATGGTTACAGAGCAAGAGTTAAACTTTGTTTTGATACCATTACTTGCTGCAAGTCACATCATACCCATGGTGGACATGGCAAAATTGTTAGCACGGAGAGGTGTGACTGTCACTTTAGTCATGACTCCCCTCAATGCTATCCGATTCACTAGAGTAATTGATCGTGCCATCGGTTCTGGACTCCTCATTCGGGTACTTGAACTCCAGTTTCCAGCTAAGGAAGCAGGACTGCCCGAGGGATGTGGAAGTGCGGATCTTCTACCAGCACTAGCCTTTCGAAGAAATTTCTTTGCTGCAATTGATATGCAACAAGACCAAGCTGAAAAATTGCTTGAAGAGATGAAGCCTAAGCCAAGTTGCATTATTTGTGATACTCATATTGCTTGGACAGCTGAGACGGCTGATAAGTTTCAGATTCCAAGAATTATTTTTGATGGAATGAGTTGTTTCACTCAATTATGTATGCATAATTTGTACATCATGAAGGATCAAAGTGAAATTCCTGAATCAGGGCCTTTTGTCATCCCTGATTTGCCAGATAGAATTGAGGTAACTAAATGTCAGCTGCCTGGAGCATTCAATCCAGGAACACATTGCATACAAGATATTCGAGACAAAATACGAGCAGCTGAAATAAGAGCCTATGGGGTTGTAATCAATACTTTCGAGGACTTGGAACAAAGGTACGTTGATGAATTCCGAAAACTTAAAGATGGAAGAGTTTGGTGTATTGGACCTTTGTGTCTCTGTAACAATGACAATCTAGATAAAGCTCAGAGAGGGAATAAGACGTCATTTGACAAGGAGGACAGTTTAAATAAATGGCTTGATTCTTGGCAGCCTGAGTCTGTTGTGTATGCATGCATGTCTTGGGAGTCTCGGCCGTATTACAATTGTACAATTTGTGGAGCTAGCTTTAGGCCTGGAAGAATCAGGTTGTCCATTCATTTTAGTCATAAAAGCAGGGGAAGGACAAGCACCAATAGAGGACTGGATATCGAAAAATAGATTTGAGACAAGAACAAAAGAAAGAGGGCTTTTGATCTGTGGCTGGGCACCACAAGTATTGATCCTATCACACCCTGCAATTGGAGGGTTCTTGACTCATTGTGGTTGGAATTCGACCCTTGAGGGGATCGCTGCTAGTGTGCCTATGATCACTTGGCCTTTATTTTCTGAGCAGTTTCTGAACGAGAGATTCTTAGTACATGTCTTAAAAACAGGTGTGAGTGTTGGATCTCAAGGAGTGATGCATTTGGGAGAGGAAGAGAAGCCTGAAGTCCAAGTGAACAAAGAAGAAGTGACTAAAGCCATTAAAAAGGTGATGGACAAAGAGAAAGAAAGAAATGATAGGAGAAAAAGAGTGAAAGAAGTTGGACAAATTGCAAAAAATGCAATAGAAAATGATGGATCTTCTCATCTTAGTTTAACACTTCTAATCAAAGAAATACAAGAATTCCAACTCAACAAATCTTAAAATGAAAATGCACAAGTAGTATGGAATGTACTTCTTTGAGAATTATTAAGTGTTATCAGATAGGGTTTAATGTAGTAATTTAACAAATCAGTTTATGTTGTTTAACAATTAGTTTGAGCCCACAAGTTACTTGTGTGGTCTTAAGGAATTATAACCGCGGCCATACAAATCACAGAACTCCAACGAACTCAAATGGCATAGCAATGAATATAAGCACAAAAAATTCTCCTCTTCACTACAGATGAGGGAGAAACGATTTTTTTTTCAAATATCTCTTTTTCCTTCATTACCATGACTCAATAATTGATCTGATGCATAATGTAGACAAAATTGATTAGCTGTCATAGTAAATACACATAAAAAGGAAAGGACACGCTTTGATATAGCAAGTCCCCTTCAAAAATGAAATGTACTGCCTGGCATGGTGGCAATTATTGGATTTCTCTCACCTCTACACATGTGACACAAAATTCTGACTGTTATTGGGCCCTGTCTTTTTCTTATTTTTCATTTTGCTCCTTTCTTCCCTAACTTTATCATCATATAAATGACAATATGACATAATAACCAATTTTTTTATCATGTCACGAGCGTCTAAATGACATAATAACCTTAATTAACTCTTCACAAATATGTGGTGACGAGTTTTCTGAGGTGTAGAATTTGCACTTAAATTTGACTGCTAGAGTTTGATGGAAATCAAAAGTGCTCATTTTTTGAAAAAACGTGAAGGAGCAAAACTACTCAACAAACTATAGCTTTTTCAGTTCTTACTGAGTAAAGATGACAACAGTCCCAGCATTGGCAGAGCTAAACTTTGTTGTGATTCCTTTACTTTCTACAAGTCACCTTATACCGCTGGCGGACATGGCCAAATTGTTAGCGCAGCAAGGAGTGACAGTCACGTTAGTCACGACAGCTCTAAATGCCGCCAGATTCACTGCAGCAATTGATTGTGCCATTCGTTCTGGACTCCTCATTCGGGTAGTGGAGCTCCAGTTTAAAGGTAAGGAAGCAGGACTTCCAGAGGGGTGTGAAAACCATAATGATGTGCCTGGTCTGAACTATCGAAGACAGTTCTTTGCTGCAATTGATATGCTGCAAGAACAGACTGAGAAATTGCTTGAAGATATGAAGCCTAAACCGAGTTGCATTATTTCTGATGCGTATGTTGCTTGGACAGCTGATACAGCTGATAAGTTTCAGATTCCAAGAATTGTTTTTGATGGAATGAGTTGTTTCAACCAAATGTGTAAGCATAATATGTACATCTTGAAGGATCAAAACAAAATACCTGAATCAGGGACTTTTGTCATACCTGATTTGCCAGATAGAATTGAAGTCACTAAAGCTCAGCTGCCTCCCCATTTCAATCCAGCAGGAACAGTTGTCATACAAGATATTCGTGACAAAATAAGAGCAGCTGAAACAAGAGCATATGGGGTTGTGATCAATATTCGAGGAGTTGGAACAAAGGTATGTAGACAAATTCCGAAGACTTAAAGATGGTAGAGTTTGGTGCATTGGACCTTTATCTCTTTGTAACAATGACAATCTTGATAAAGTTCAGAGAGGGAATAAGGGATCATTTGACAAAGAAGACATTTTGAAGAAATGGCTTGATTCTTGGGAGCCAGAGACTGTTGTGTATGCATATTTTGGGAGCCTTGGTCGTATTACAGTAGTACAATTTGTGGAGCTTGCTTTAGGCCTGGAAGCATCAGGTTATCCATTCATTTTAGTCATAAAAACAGGGGAAGGACAATTTTCCTTCTTTTCCTACCGTTAATCTTTGTTATTATTTTTTTTAAAAAAAATTGGACCAAAGGTCCGTTACTTCTCATAAGTATTATCATACACATCTAGGCTAGTAACTAGCCCAATTTAAACAAATGCCAGATAGTCCAAAAAAGGAAATAAAGCTCAGTTTTGTCTTGGAAAGACCAATATTGCCATTTCCCTAAAAATAGGGTTTCCTAAAGAAAGCTATACTACTCTCCTATTTTTAGTCATAAAAATTTTGTTGACTATAATTATTTTAACCAAGCATAGATAGTATAATTTTCCACCGAAGGGGGTTCGATGAACCCCCTTTGTACATGGTGGCTCCGCCCCTGATTAGGGGTGTGAAAAAATTCAATCGATCAATAAACTGAACTGATAAAAATGCTATTGATATATTGCTATTGAGTTGTTACGTTAATGAATTTTTAATGGTTTTATTAAAAATTTCAAATTATTGGTTCAGTTTTGATTTTTAATATTGAGTTATTGGTTGAATCGATAACTCATTATGAAGGTGGTGATTAACTTTGAAATTCCATTTTTACCCTTAACGAAATAATTTACAATTATATAAATACCTAAAGATTGTTCAAGACCATAAATTTCAAAAATATCTTGCTTTTTTTTAAAACTCCATGTCAAATCTAACGGTGTCACATGAAACATAAGGAATGCTAGGCATTTTCACAATACACACTTAATCATAATTGCATGAAATGTGATGCACAAATTGAGTAACAATATCTCTCTCATAATTCTGCTTGCTAACATATTTTAAAAAAAATTAGAGTTAATTTATCATATGATCATTAATTAACATTTAATATTTCAGAAAGTTATTTTTTAATTAAAAAATTGGAATAACATGGAAATATGATTATCTAAGATAATAACTATTAATTGAGTGATTACATGAGAAATCAATCCTATTTTATATTTGGTTAAATACT